AAAAAGTGAAAATAAATTGGCTGGGCGTGGTTACTCTTGCCTATAGTCCCAATAATTTGGGGGGCCAAGGCAGGAGGATCACTTGAGGCCAGAAGTTCATGACTAGCCTGGGCAACATAGTGAGACCCCATCTCTACAAAAAAAAGAAAAATTATCCAGATGTGGTAACCTGTAGTCCCAGCTACTCCAGAGGCTGAGGCAGGAGGATTGCTTGAATCCAGGAGTTTGAGGTTGCAGTGAGCTATGGTGATGCCACTGCACTCTAGCCCAGGTGACAGAGTGAGACCCTGTCTCTGGGGGAAAAAAAAATCTGGGTTTGTGGCTTCTCTTGAAAAATCAAAAGGTCTGAGGACATTGGCTGGCAGCAAGTTTCCCCTGCCTTTTTAACCAAGTGAGGCTCTTTGGTGGCCCAGTGCCGCTCCCATAAGAGTACCTGGCACTCAGACCTGGCCCACTGTATCCGTGACGTTCGGCCCCGGGCCCTGGTGTTTATCTGCATTCACTTCTAAGAGGCTGTATGGTGCTATGTGGCAGCTAACCAACCAGTTTCTTGCACCACACTCCCTACCACTCTCTCCCCAGCAAGAGCAGAACATCAAGCCCCAGTTCTTTGCCTTCCGCTGGCTGACACTGCTGCTGTCCCAGGAGTTCTTGCTGCCTGACGTCATCCGGATCTGGGACTCCCTCTTCGCTGATGACAACCGCTTTGACTTCCTCCTCCTTGTCTGCTGCGCCATGCTCATGTGAGTGTGTGGCCATGACTTTGCCTTGGTTCACCTGGCCAGTCCTTGGGAGGAACCAGAGGGGAGGATCCTCAGCCCCTGGAGGGCGGGCAGGAGCTGCTCTCAGGTGACTGGAGAGAGCCTCTGGAATCCTTGGGATAGTGCCAAACCAAGCTCGCTGTGGGTGGTGAGGAAGGAGCTGGAAGGGGCCTGGCAGGGCCTGCACTCAGAGTGGCCCAGGGTCCCAGCACTTTTGCTGCTGCTTTTTCTTAGACTGATCCGGGAGCAGTTGCTGGAAGGAGACTTTACCGTAAACATGCGGCTCCTGCAGGTAACAGGGGTTTGGAGGGGCAAGCAGTCTCAGCCATGAGGCAGATGCTTACCAAGCTGCCACCCCACACCAGCCGCTGTGACAGCTGGGATCAGGAATGGTGGAGGGTAGCAGGCCCTGAGGCAGATCTGGTTTAGATATGGGTTTGAATCCTGGCTCTGCCACTGACCTTGAGTGTTGCGTGGCCTTGAACAGATGTCTTGGCCTCTCTGAACCAAGTAGGTTGGTCACACCTGGGACACAGCAGGCCCCAAGAACATGGCAGTGCTCGTTGGTAATTACACCCAGACCCGGGGTAGGAAAGCGGAACACAGTGATTAAGAGCACGGGATCAAGGGCCAGACAGCTTTGGGTTCACACCTTCGTTCCTCTGTGCTCTTCATGTGACCCGAGTGCCAAGTGACAGCTTCTCTGGGTCTTAGGCTCTTCGCCAGTGCCTGGCCTAGGTTGGTTTTCCATAACTTCACTGACGAGCTCTGCAAGACAGGCCTGAGCACAGTAATCCACTCCTAGGGTTGTTGAGGTGACTCAGGGAGCTGATGCTTAGTGCCTGGCCCGGTACTGGGTTTGAGTGGAGCTTGGGGTTCTATGGCAGCAGGGCAGAGATGAGGCAGCAGGGCCCTGGTCCTGGTCCTGAGGAGAGGGCTGTGGGACCCTTGGGTGGTGCTGCGGTGGGCGCAGTGTTGGCTCCATGCAAGGGTTTGGGCAGCATGCATGGGATGTCTGGTACTCTCTGGTCCCTGCCCTGGGCCTAGGGAGCAGCATGGTGACAGGCCCCAGTGGGAAGGGTACGGGTGTGGCAGAGATGGCCAAGGGTGAGCTGGCTCAGGCATTTTGTTGGCCTTTCTCATGCCCAGGATTACCCCATCACAGACGTCTGCCAGATCCTACAGAAAGCCAAGGAACTCCAAGACTCAAAGTAGCCTGGCAGCAAGAGGCCAAGGTTTGGGAGAGCAGCCACCGGACCCTGGTGCCCTGGCTTCTGGGACACCCAGAAGCCTGTGGAGACCCCAGCCCGGAGGGGAAGCTGCAGGATTGATCCACTCCAGGCCTTCCTGCCCTGGTTCCCTCGCCCCAGGCCGCTCCCACTGGGAGCACACTGTGCCATGCCCCTTCCCTACCACCAAGCCCTGGCTCCCTGCCTGCTCTTCAGCTCTGAGACCCTTTGCCCAGGCCTCTGAGCAGGGTTGGGCCTCAGGAAGTTATCTTTTCCAGGGCCACGGTCCACTTGGGGGTTCTGGAAGGCTGGCAAGGGCCCCTTCCTGCCTCAGTTCCTGCTTCTGGTCTTCTGGGCGCTGGTCAGGGAGGTGCTTGGCAAAGGGGCCAGCAACCATTTATGAGGGTTGGTACTTAGGCTTCTCCATGGGGAAAGTGACCCTGAGGGCACTAAGCAGCGGCCAGGCCCAGGTCACACTCTGTGTGTCTCCCACTAATTGTGTATCTATCTGGTGGTGTTGGTGTGTGTGTGTCCCTGAATTCCCCAGGTGTCTCTACATGGGTGTGAGGGGGGGGCGAGGGGTGAGGGGTGAGGGGTGAGGGTATCTGAATCCCACTTGGTCTCGCTGCTTCTCCTTCTTTGCCCCTCTCTCTACCTCTGTCTCCCTCCACCTCTGTCGCAATGGGTGTGTGTGCCCCCTCACTCTATGTTCCTCTTGCCATTACTCTCCCTCTGCCCTTCTCTCTTGGGGTGCCTTATCCTGAGCCTCTTCCCCTCTCTCCTCCCCTCCACTCCCGTGAACCGGGAGACAGAATGAGGCATCTGGCTCAGCAAGGCCCCTGGAGGTCAACCTTGGCCTTTGCATCCTTTCTCATCCCACGGCCCCAGGCTCCCAGGTCCCCAGGCTGGGAGGGAGTCCTCAGTGCCTCACTAGAGGGCCCTGAACCTGCTTCCCATAACAGGATTCTTAGAAACCAAAAGCTGCTGAGAACTGATGAGGCTTTGGGCCTTAGAAGGAAGAAGGAAAGCTGGGTTTTCTGGAAGTGCCCCCAAAGGCCCTCCTGTCCCAAAGGAAAAGGACACTAAGGTGATTCTGTACCCAGGGCTGGCATCCAAGTGCTTCACAAGAGTTGTCATTCCCTTGGCCTCTAGGTCCCAGCCCAGGGTGATGAGTCCCACAAAGGGCAGGTGGGACCTGGCGCATCCCCGGGCCAGGCGTAGCTGGGCATTAGGCCCTGGATCCTGTCAGTGCCAGGAGGGCCATGGCTGCGCCTCTGTGTGCCCCTCCGCCCCGTGCAGGCTGAGGGTGCTGCTGGCCCTTCTCTGGGCACCTGCTTGGGCTGCTCCCAGGGTTGGGGCAGGTGCACTCTGATCAGGAACAGTGTGCCTACGCCCAGCTCTGGGAGGGCGGGGCTGCTTCTGACCAAGTACCCTCCCTCCTTTTGTGAGCAGGCAGGTGGTTTGGGTCTGCAAGCCCAGGTAACTTAGCAGATGTCCTCATCTGCTTCCCAGACGGCCAGCAGGAGCCAGGCCCCAAAAGCCTTCCTGAGTCTGGCAGGTGGGACTTGCTGCCCTCCCAGGCCTGGTTGTGGGCCAGAAACACCTTCCCCCAGGTGGCTCCTTTACCAGGCTTTTCCTTGGATGCTGCTGGGACTTTGTATACTTGCCTGTTCCTCCTCCTCTCCAAACACACAGTATTCAGGAGATTTTTACTATTTATTGACACTCCTGGCTATTTATTGCAGATTGGCAAGTGCTTTGGGGATAAGAGGTGGGGCTGGGAAGGCAGAAAGGAGTTGGAGACATGGTCCTCTTTATTTCTCAAGGTCAAAGTCAGCATCTTTTCTCCCTGCCCCTGGACCTCCCTGGTTTTCCAGCAGGAAGAGGGCTGAGAGGGCTCTGAGCTCTCTCTGTAAAGGAGCAAAGAGAACCAATGTCCTTGCCAGACTCAAGGACCCCTGGGATGAGGCAGAGACACACTGCCTCCTACCAGCCTGGTCCAGCCTCTATCCAAAACTTGTCGGCTGGTGGTTCAGCCCCTCTTGGACTCCTCCACAGCTTGAGGCTTGGGCCACTGCCTGGGACCCAGCAGACACTGCCCAGGTCACCTGATGCATTCTCTCTTGCCTGTCCCCTACCCTCTCTCCTGGGACCATACTACTTGAATCACTGTATCTGATTTGCCTCTGACAGTGCTGGGCCCAGTGCCCTCTCTTTGACCCTGAGATGAAGGTCAAGAGCACAGGGACCATGTCTTGGTTAGGCTGAGCTCCCAGTGGGATACTGCCTGATGAAAGAAGTCACCCTTGGTGAATTCCCCTCCCCAGATTCTCAAGGGAGGTCCCCACAGAGCCAGAGTGCCTGAGGCTTCCTGCTTGAGAAGCTGCTCCCAGCTTGGGACACTTACAGATTGAGCTGTAAGAATTCAGCAGGTCTCACTCCAGAGTCAGAATGTTAGTCTGCTTTTGTTTTTTTCATCTGTTTTGTTCCTTGAATCAATGCTGTTGATGATGTCTTTAATAAATCATGTATTCTTTACAGTGGGCATTGGGTGCTGTGATGGGCTGAAACCTTTAAGCTCTCAGAACAGGGAGAAAAGTTTGAGCAGGGATGGAGTCAGAGTCTCTCAGTGGTCTAAGAAACAGGTCACGAAATCCTTGTTGGAAGAGCCTGTTCAACTCTTCTAATTCAGCCACAGCAATCTGCAGCTTCCGGGAGGAGGGAGTGTGGACTTGAGAAGGAGGTAAAACACATGATCACATAGCAAGTTTTTAGATTTAAAAATTAGATCATCTCATTAGATACAGAAAAAGCATTTGACAAAGTTTGACATCTTTTTATGATAAAAACCCTCAAATTAGTGCTGGGTTAGCTCACCCCTATAATCCTAGCACTTTGGGAAGCTGAGGCAGGGGGATCACTTGAAGCCAGGAGTTCGGAACCAGCCTGGGCAACCAGAAGACTCGCTGTAGAAAATTTTAAAAATTAGCTGGGCGTGGTGGTGCATGCCTGTAGTTCCCAGCTACTCAGGAGGCTGAGACAGGAGGACTGCTTGAGCTCAGGAGTTTGAGGCTGCAGTGAGCTGTGATCATGCCACTGTACTCTAGCCTGGGGGACACACTGAAACCCTGTCTCAAAGAAAAAAAACCCAAATTAGGCACAGATGGAATGTACCTCAACACAATAAAAGCCGTGTATGAAAAGCTGACAGCCAACATACTCAATGATGAGAAGTTGAAAGTCTGTCCTCTAAGACGAGGAACAAGACAAGGATGCCCACTCTCCAATTTTGTTCAAAATAGTCCTGGAAGTCCCAGCCAGAGCAGCTAGGCAAGAGAAAGAAGTGAAAAGTATCCAAACAGGAAAGGAAGAAGTGAAATTGTCTATTTCCTAACATGATCTTACATATAGAAAACCCTAAAGAGTCTGCCTAAAAAACCTGTGAGAACTAATAAGTGAATACAGTAAAGACGCAGGATACAAAGCCCGCAGCACTTCTGTGCACTAACAACAAACCCTCTGAGAAGAAGGCAAGAAAATCCCATTTACAATAGTAGCAAGTAAATAAAATACTTAGGAATAAATTTAACCAAGGAGGTGAAAGACCTGTTCACTGAAAACTATAAAATATTGATGAAAGAAATTGAAGACATGAAGAAATAGAACAATATCTCGTGTTCATGAATTGAAAGAATTAATACTGTTAAATTGTCTATACTACCCAAAGCAATCTACAGATTCTATGCAACCCCTATCAAAATTCCAATGTCATTTTTGACAAAAATAGAAAAAAAATCCTAAAATTCACATGAAACCACAAAAGACCCTGAATAGCCAAAGTGATCTTGAGTGAAAAGAACAAAGCTGGAGCCATCACACTACCTGATTTCAAAATATATTATGAAGCTATAGTAATCAAAACAGCATGGTACTGACATAAAATAGACGCATTAACCAATGGGACAGAATAGAGAGCCCAGAAAACGAACCCATACATTTATGATCAATTGATTTTCTACAAAGGTGCCAAGAACACAATGGGAAAACAACAGTCTCTTCAATAAAGGGTGTTGGGAAAACTGGATATCCCCTTGCAGATGGGAGAAATTTGACCCTCATCTCACACCATGTACAAAAATCAATGGATATGACGCTGCAGTGACTTTTTTGGATTTGACCCCAAGAGCCCATGCAACAAAAGCAAAAATAGACATCAAACTAATAATATGCACAGCAAAGGAAACAACAGCTTGAAGAAACAACGACAACCTATGGAATGGAAGAACACACAGTCATATACCACACAACTTTTCTGACGATGAACTGCACGTACGCCTGTGGTTCCATAAGATAATGGAGCTGAAAATTTGCTATTGCCTAATGATGTCCTGATCATCCTGACCCTGTGTGGCCAAGGCTAATGTGTGTCTTAGTTTTTAACAAAAAGTTTAAAAAATAAAAGGAAATTAAAAAAATTTAAAGACAAGAAAAGCTTATAGGATAAAGATGTAACAAAATATTTTTGTACTGCTGTACAATGTGTTTGTATTTTAAGCTAAGTATTTATTACATGAGTCAAAAAGTTTTTTTTTTGAGACAATGTCTCACTCTGTTGCCCAGGCTAGAGTGCCGTGAAGTCAGCCTAGCTCACAGCAACCTCAAACTCCTGGGCTCAAGTGATCCTTTTGCCTCAGCCTCCTGAGTAGCTGGGACTACAGGCACATGCCACCATGCCCGGCTAATTTTTTTTCTATATGTTTTTAGTTGTCCAGCTAATTTCTCTCTATTTTTAGTAGAGACGGGGTCTCCCTCTTGCTCAGGCTGGTTTCAAACTCCTGAGCTCAAACGATCCACCTGCCTTGGCCTCCCAGAGTGCTAGGATTAGAGGCGTGAGCTGCTGTGCCCAGCCAAAAAGTTTTAAAAAATTAAAAATTTATAAAGTAAAAAGTTACAGTAAGGCCAGGCATGGTGGCTCACGCCTGTAATCCTAACACTCTGGGAGGCCAAGGTGGGAGGATCGCTTTGAGTTCAGGAGTTGGAGACCAGCCTGAGCAAGAATGAGACTCCATCTCTACTAAAAATAAAAAAGTTAGCCAGTCATCGTGGCTGGCATATGTAGTCCCAGCTACTTGGGAGGCTGAGGCAGGAGGATCACTTGAGCCCAGGAGTTCGAGGTTGCTGTGAGCTATGATGACACCACTGCACTCTACCTAGGGCGACAGAGCAAGACTCTGTCTCCAAAAAAGTTACAGTAAAGGTTATTATTGAAGAAAGAAAAATATTTTAAATAAATTTAGCATACATAAATAGCGTTTATAATGTCTACATTAGTGTACAGTAATGCCCTAGGCCTTCATTCACCATTCACTGACTCACCCAGAGCAACTTACAGTCCGGCAAGCTCCGTTCATAGTAAGTGCCATATAGAGGTGTACCAGTTTTTATCTTTTATACTGTATTTTTACTGTACGTTTTCTGTGTTTATAGATATGTGTAGCTACACAAATATCATTGTGTTACAGTTGCCTACAGTATTCAGTAACAGGCTGTATAGCTTTGTAGCCTAGGAGCAATAGGCTGGCTGTACCATATAGCCTAGGTGTGGAGTAGGTTATACATCTAGGTTTTGTAAGTGCCCTCTACGATATTCACCCAACAAAATCGCCGAACGTTTCTCAGAATATATTCTAATCGTGTCCCAAAAGTTGCCATACATAGGAAAAATGGGAAATTTTAGTTGAATGTACCTTTATTTACAAAATATTAATTACAAAATTTTACAAAAGTTTTCCTTTGTATGGAAACTTTTGGGACACCTTGTATCTAAGCAATACTCTATGACTATTTGGGAACGGTGCATCTGATAAGGGGTTATCCAAAATATATAAGGACCTCAGACATCTTAATAGCAAGAAAACAACCTGATTAAAAATGGGCAAAGGGGGAAAGAGGGAAAAAAATAAAAATAAAAAATGGGCAAAGGACCTGAACGGACATTTCTCAAAAGAAGACATACAAATGGTCAACAAATACATGGAAAAATGCACAATATCACAGATCATCAGGGAAATGCAAATTAAAACCAAAATGAAATACCACCTCACACCACTCAGAATCGCTGTTATCAAAAAGACAAAACACAACTCGTGTCAAGGACATGGAGGGCAGATGTGGTGGCATGTGCCTGTGTAGTCCCAGCCACTTGGGAGGCTGAGGCAGGAGGATCACTTTGAGCTCAGGAGTTTGAAGTTGCTGTGAGCTGTGATTATGCCACTCTACTCTAGTTGGGTGACAGAGCCAGACTACCCTGTCTTAAATAAACGAACAAACAAATAAATGTGTTGGAAAGGGAACCTTTGTATATACAATACGCTGACGGTGGGAATGTAAATTGGTACAGCCATTATGGAAAACTGTATGGAGGCTCCTCAAAAAACTAAAAATAGAACTTCCATATGATTCAGCAATCCTACCTCTGAGTGTATATATCCAAAAGATTTGAAATCAATATGTTGAGTTATCTACACTCCTATGTTTATTGCAGCAAGTTGCTCTATGATTAAAAAATATTTTTATGGGCTGAATACTATTGCATGTAGTATGCTAAATGTCCTTAACCAGTCCCTGTTTCTGAGTATTTTGCTTATTTCATCCTCTAGTGTAAGTGATACTGTGGTGAATATTCGTGTTTGAAATCCTTGCATTTCCAATTTCCCTGGCTCAGTCCTCTGTGTGGCTTGAAAATTATGAACTTTTTAAAGGCTTCATCCATCCTGTCAAGCCGCTTTCTGGAATCATTATGCCAAGTTTCTGCTCCATCCAGCAGTTAGCATCAGCTGCCTGCATCCTTGTCCTCCCGCTAGTGTTAACGTGAAACTCTTTGCCAATCTAGTAGCATTTGGGGCTTGTTTTATAGTATAATGGTTAGGAAAGCACCCTGCGGTCAGACAGATCTGGGGTCCTGTCCTTGCTCTGCCAAGTAGGCGCTCCCTCTTGGGGCGGTTTCGGGATTAAATGAGTAGTAATAAAAGCGCTTTAGAGTAGTTTTCGACCCTTCCCGGGTGCTGGCAAAGGCGCAACGCCTTGCGCTCCTTGAGTTCCTTGCGCAGGCGCAGAGGAGGAGCGATCCTCCCGCTGAGCCGACCTCCCGGCGGCCACTGCGGAGCTGAGGCGGTGCCACGCCCCCCAGCGCGCATCCTAAAAGGGCAGAGAAAGGGCGCCGACGACACCACTCCTGGCGCGGGCCCTGCGTCCTCTGGTTGTGAGTCCCAAGCCCTTCGGGGCGCTTGTGACTGGTAAGGAAGGTCATCTCAGCGCCCCCGGCCCCCACCGGCCCCTTCCCCGCGGTGGCCCGCGGCGCGGCTCCTTTAAGAGCCTCGGTCGGACGCCAGCGGTGGCAGCGCGCCCTCCGTCCGCCCCGGTCCCGGTTCCCGCGGCGCTCTGGCCATGCGGGCCCTGCGGCTCGGCCTGAGCCTGGCGCTGGGCGCGGGGCTGGGCGCGGCGGCCGAGGGCTGGCGGCGGCGGCGGGCGGACGCGCAGGCGGCGCCGGGGCTGTTGGGCCGGCTGCCCGTGCTGCCAGTGGCGGCGGCGGCGGCCGAGCTGCCAGCTGTGCCCGGGGGACCGGCGGGCCGCGGCCCGGGCGAGCTGGCCAAGTACGGGCTGCCCGGGCTGGCGCAGCTCAAGAGCCGAGAGTCGTACGTGCTGTGCTACGACCCGCGCACCCGCGGCGCACTCTGGGTGGTCGAGCAGCTGCGGCCCGAGCGGCTCCGCGGCGACGGCGATCGCCGCTCGTGCGACTTCCGCGAGGACGACTCGGTGCATGCGTACCACCGCGCCACCAATGCCGACTACCGCGGCAGCGGCTTCGACCGCGGCCACCTCGCCGCCGCCGCCAACCACCGCTGGAGCCAGAAGGCGATGGACGACACCTTCTACCTGAGCAACGTCGCGCCCCAGGTATCGCCTGCGCCCCAGGGCGGGTCTCGGAAAGCGGGGCAAGAGCCTGGCTTCTCTGAACCTCGGTCGTGCATCCGCGGAATGGAGGAGCTCTCGAGTGCGCGCTCTAGGTTAGGCCCTTCTAATCGGGCCGAGCGCCCCAGGTGGGAGGGAGGACCCCAGGGGATACCGGCTCTGCAGGCAGACCAGGGCTTGAACTCGAACTGATGAGCTCCTGGCACCTCCCTGAGCTTCAGTTTCCCGGTCTGTAAAATGGGGGGGGGGGTAATACTATTATTCATCTCCCTCTCGTAGTGGCGAAGTACTGAAGACAGTGCAGGTAAAAGTACTGAGCACACTTCCTAGCTCACTGGTTGTTAGTTATAAGGAGGGAATTGCCTCAGAGAGGCAAAGTGACTGGCCCGGTGCCACACAGCAGGAAGAGAACCCAGGCAGTCTGTCTAGTGGAGCTTGAGCCTTCAGCTGTTGTCCTACCCTGCCTGCCTGAGAGCAGGTACGAGGAAGACACCTGGCACAGTTGGGCTGCTTGTGCCAGTCACTGTGCACCCTGGACCAGCCGCCCTACATCTAGGCCTGTTCCCAGCAGGGCCTAGCACCCAGTGGATGGAGACCCAGCTGGGGCTTGGGTGCATCTCATGGGGTGCAAGCATCCCACCGCATCTTCCCTAACTTCTCTCCCAGCGGCTCAGTCCCCTACCCATTTTCCATTGTCCTGAGGCCTGGGGAGCTCAAGCAATGCAGGCAGATTCATGACATTTCCAGCTGGACACTGCCCATGGATCAGCCTGAAATAGGACAGGGCTAGCCTTCCTGTGAACCCCTGGGTAGGGGCAGGGACAGGCCTCAGTCCCTCTCTGAAAGGGTGAGGTGTGCTCCTTCCTCATGCAGCTCTTAGGAGCTGAAACTTTGAGACCTGGGCTGTGGGCGGGACAGCTGCAGGGGAGTGGCTAGCAAGCACCAGGAAATTGAGGCTCAAGGCCATGAGGGTGGAGCATGGGCTGGGCTGCCAGGGGTGCTAGCCCTCTGATGGAGGGGGTAGGGTCCCGGTCACAGTCCCACTGAGCCCCACCTGCCCAACCAGGTGCCCCACCTCAACCAGAATGCCTGGAACAACCTGGAGAAGTACAGCCGCAGCCTGACCCGCAGCTACCAAAACGTCTATGTCTGCACAGGGCCGCTGTTCCTGCCCAGGTGAGGCTGTAGCCAGGCCCAGAGGATGGCAGGGCCTCCCACTTATGATGCCCCTTCTTGACACTCATATGCCAGGTTTGTCCAGACTCTGGGTCAATACCAGGTCACTACTCATCTGGTTTCTTGGCAAGTCTGTTTCCTGGCCTCAGCCCCCCCTTTCCACTTCCAGAGCCAGAGACCTTTGTGGTGCCCACTTGGACCATCTCTGGTCTGTCACCCCTTGCCACACACCCCCAGCCCTGGGTTTTGCCCAGATGGAAACCCTTGCAGTCGCCGACGCACAAGCTCTGCTTGCAGCACTCTTCCCTCACCCTTGCGCGGAGCCGGAGTTTGAACTCAGATCTGCCTGGCCCAGGGCGCGCGCTCTTGTCCCGCTGCAGCCCTGCCTCCCAGGTGGAAGGCACTGAGCTCCCTGGGGCGTGCTAAGGGATTTTTCCGGCCCGCTGGAGACTGGGACTGGGTGAGGCAATAGGTCGCAGCTGCACAGCTGCCTCTGGAGTCAGCAGCCTGGGATGGAATCCAGGCCCTATCACCTAGTCCCTTGGTGCCAGGAGCAAACAACTTTAGTATCCTCCCTGGCAAAATGAGGATAAAGCCTGTGACCTCACAGTTATTGGGGGACCGAGTGGGGTGGGAGACACCACATGCTTAGCCCAGGGCCTGGCCAATGGCAAGGGTCCCCCAAGGGGGGCTCCCCTTTATCTGCGGACACAGATAAGCTGATTAGCAAGTGAAATAGAAGACTGCTGAGGGGAAGCCCAGCAGTCACCCCTCCAGTATCCTGCACCTACCGTGCGCTGTGTGCCAGGCCCTATGCTGGGAGCGGGGGTTTCCGCTGTCACGGCCCTTGCCCACTTGGTGCTTACGTCCACTGGGAGAGACAGGCAATAAACAAGTGTCTGCGCAGATGGATGTGAATTATTTAGGAGGCTCAATTCTTTAAGCAACATTTATTGTCACCAATTCTGCCTGGCCCAGTGTTGGGCATGAGAAGAACCAGGGCAAAGAGTCTTCGTCCTGGAAAGAGTTCCCAGCTGCAAGAAGGAGCCAGGCAGGGCCCAGAACCTCACAGTGAGGGGTTGACAGAAGTCATGGTCAGATCATGGAAGGCTTCCTGGAGGAGGTGGCTTTGGATTCAACCAGGCCCGCTTCCCATGTTTGCCTGGGTCTGCCCACAGGACAGAAGCTGACGGGAAATCCTATGTGAAGTACCAGGTAATTGGCAAGAACCATGTGGCAGTGCCCACGCACTTCTTCAAGGTGCTGATCCTGGAGGCGGTGGGTGGACAGATCGAGCTCCGCTCCTACGTGATGCCCAACGCGCCTGTGGATGAGGCCATCCCACTGGAGCGCTTCTTGGTGCCCATCGAGAGCATCGAGCGGGCCTCTGGGCTGCTCTTCGTGCCAAATATCCTGGCGCGGGCAGGCAGCCTCAAGGCCATCACTGCCGGCAGCAAGTGAGGGTGCAGCCCGGCGAGACTGTGGACTGTGGGCGTGGGGGGCTGGGTCTCATTAAAGTGGTTGTTTTTGGGGACAAGTCTTGGCTGTGTCTGTTCTTGGTGACCAGCAGGAACCCCCGGGTTCACTGCTGCTTCATGGATGCTCCGCACCCGATAGAGCTGTCAGGTGGGCTGGGTACCCGCCAGGGTGAGGCCAGGCTGCAGGGCGGCCAGGGAGATGAGGATGGCTTCCTGTAAGAGGAGCAGGCAGTGGGCTGGGGCCTGGGAGGCTGGCAGGTGCCCGGCTCCCAGCCTGCCTTCAGTGCCTGACCACTCAGGACCCAGCCCCATGGGGTCGGCTGCCCTGAGCAGGGCCCGGGAAGGTTAAGGACAGGCCCAGTCCACACCATCGATCTGCCACTCGGCGAGTAGCACAGCCTGCGTCTGTCTCTGCTGTAAAATGGGGAGGATGGTGTAAGGCCCACCTCCCTGGGCCCAGGAGGGTGAGGTGAGGGGTGGGAAGTTCTCAGTCCCGGGGACAGGTGCTGGAGGGTGGGAGCCCAGGTTCCTGCTGGGGGTGTGGCTGACAGGCCCACGGCACCTGGCCTGGGCAGGGCCTCAGGGACGGGTAGACTGGGGTGGCCCACCTGTCGGGACCACCCCTTTGAGACTGATGGGAGCAATGGAGCCTCCCCCTAGCAGAGTGTGCACAGCACCGTGTTCTGTGCTGACCCGGAGAGTGGGTGCACAAGTTCCATGGTGCCCAGGACTAAGGCTCTCAGCGCTAGCTGCACATGGCTCCCCATGGGACAGAGATGCAAGGGAAGCCCCAAGGATGTCACATGCAAGGAAGTGGCAGAGCTGGGGCCACTGAGGAAGCCTGGGAGCACAGGACCCACCCAAGCACACAGGATTCTTGACTCCTAGCTGCACTCGAGTCTGTCCACACCACAAGACTGCTGTGGCCAGAGGCTCAGAGGGTGGGGAGATCATCCCCAGAGAAGGCAGCCTTGCTTGGGTGGGGTTTGGGTTCCAGAGAGAGAGCTGGGCTAACCCCCATCCCCAGAGATCCTGAGGCCCCTAGGCAGAGGCCTGGGCCCTGGTAGCCCAGGGGAGGTGGCGGGCTCACCTCTGTGCGGATGGTGCGGCTGCCCTGGCTGGGGCAGGTGTTGACGTACAGGTCGAAGAGGACACTGGGTTCTGCCACTTCCAGGTTGGGGTCCGCATCCACTGCAGCTTCCAGCCCCTGGAGGCCCCCAAACACCACGAGCGTGTGCCTGGCACCCACAGGAGGGGGTCACCGACCGTTAATCAAAGCCCACTGGACACAGCCCCCAGCACTTGCAGCTGCCACACAGAGTCGGGTCCCAGCCTGTGCAGCTTTACCCACCAGGCGGGTTCCCGGCCCCATTCCTCCGCCCCAGGCAGTACGCACCTGAAGCTGGGGAGCTGGGCAGAGGCCACGTCCGAGCCTCGCTCTGACGTCCCGATGGTCAGGTCGTAGCCGTCCTGGAAGGGGGCCTCAGCGAACACAGCACCTGGGGGTGGGGCCAGCTCAGGGGGGTCCTGCTCCCCACAAGCCACAGCTTCGTGGGTGCGTGTGTGTGTCGTGGGGTGGAGAAGGACGCTCAGTACGGGAGCTGCGCCCAGGCCTCCACTATTCCTGGGAAGTCAAGGATGAGCAGGGTAGAGACCAAGCCTGTGCTCGGTGGGGAGAACTAGGCAGTGGTGGGGCCGGAACGTGTAGTGGACCTTTGGCTTCTCTGGCCTTGTGCCCCACCCCCACCCCTACAGCAGACGTCAGTAATCAATCGCGACACTTTGCGCCAGAAGTCAGACCAGCGGTCAAGGCCATGCGGTCAGGGAGACCCAGAGGAGAGGCACCTGCCCAAGGACACACAGCAACTTGGCAGGACGAGAACTCTGGTCTGACTTTTGGGTCAAGCAAGGCTCTCTGCCACCCCCCAGACAGAGGACTGGATGGCTATTCAGAGACGGAAGCTGCGTCCTTACTGAGGCAGGAGGCCAATCGGACGGTGTAGCCCCAGTAGAGACCCACTTTCGTGCGAGGGTCCTGTGATGACACGACTTTGCCGCGGTAGGTCTTGCATCCTGGAGGGGAAACAGAGTCTATAAAGTGGGGCGAGGGGACAGGGAAGTGGATGGAGGAGACCCTGAGCCCTCAAGATGGCCAGGCCACCCTAGGAGCCAGGGAAGTTTACAGATACCTGGGAGCTGTTTCTGGTTCAGTCGCACGGTCACCCGAAGTCCGGGTTCCAGGTTCTTGTCAATCTTCACCTCCTGGGGAGAAACCGGAAGAAATGGGTGGCGTTCCCTTCAAGACCAGCAGGGGTCACCACTCTCCCAGAAGCCACCAGGGGAAATGTGGAGCCAGAAAGCAGCCGAAGGGGTCCAGGTCACCCCATCCTCCTCTCGCTCTGGTACCTGCTGGACCTGCTGGGAGGAGACCACTCATGCCACACAGTGGTCAACAACGAAGGCTTGGGGCCTGGCGCAGACTGGAAGTAGATAAAATCCCAGTGTTCTACATTTTGGTGGCTCTGCCACTTAACTGGCTATAGGACTTTGAGGAAATCACTTAACTAACCTCTTTGAGCCTCAGTTTCCTCATCTGTCAAATAAAGAATTCTCCACGACTGGGCGCAGTGGCTCACGCCTGTAATCGCTGCACTCTGGGAGGCTGAGGCAGGAGGATCGCTGGAGCCAAGGGGTTAGAGGTTGCAGTGAGCTATAATGATGCCACTGCGCTCTACCCCAGGTGACAGAGGGAGGCTGTCTCAAAAAAAAAAAAAAATTCTCCACAAACAAGCTGGGCATGGTGGCACATGCCTGTAGTCCGGGAGGCTGAGGCAGGAGGATCCTTTGAGCTTAGGAGTTCAAGGCCAGCCTGGGCAACAAAGCAAGACCCGTTTCAAAACCAAACTTGCCATAAACAATGGCTATTGTTACATCGCACAAGGCCTGGCATGAGATAAATGCTTAACATGGGAACTGTGACAAATGACAATTTTCTTTATGTTTTATGCCCATTTTGAATTGATCGTCCTTAATGGGGCACTTTCTTCCCCTTCTGAGGGTTTCTCATGCTTTTCCCCTTTTGTCTGTGTGTCATCCTGGTCTGTGCTTTTTTTTTGATTTCCTTTTTTTCCTTTCTTTAATCAGCTTTCTTATATTAAGATTTGCTTTTTATTTTTACGTATTTGTTTTAGAAACAGGGTCTTGCTCTGTTGCCCAGTCTGGTGTGTGGCGGTGTTGTCATAGCTCACAGCAGCCTTAAAGTCCTGGCCTCAAGGGATCCTCCTCCCAAGTAGCTAGGAGTACAGGAGTGGGCCGCCACGCCCAGCTAACTTAAAACATTTTTTTTGTAGAGACAGGGTCTCACTCTATTGCCCAGGGTAGGGTGCAGTGGCATGATCCTAGCTCACTGTAACCTTGAACTCCTGGGCTCAAGCGATCCTCCTGCCTCAGCCTCCTGAGTAGCTGGGACTACAGGCGTGCACCGCCACAGCTGGATGATTATTTTTTGTAGAGACGTGGTCTCTCTATGTTGCCTAGGCTGGTCTCGAGCTCCTGGCCTCAAGCGATCCTTCCACCTCAGCCTGCCAAACTGCTGGGAACCACTGTGCCCAGCCCTCAGATTTACTTTTTAAACAACAGTAAATTCATCCCTGGCTTTATCTATTGAGCCCTGTTTGGGGCACTCCTCTGGGCTGAATCTGCACCAGTGAGGGATCTGCAGGCAGGTCCAGGGCTCCCTACCACATTGCCGTCCGTCCTCCAAAGCCAGGGTGTGTCCCCGCGGTATGTCCGGGACCACCTTTTCATTCCTACCTTCTTCATGCCACAGTTGACAAAGGAGCCGTGGCCTGGCCGCGTGGGTCGGTCCACCACGATGCCCTCTCGGAACTCGGATTCCTCATCCTGACGCATGTGATGAGGGCTGTCCAGGGGGTTCAGGAGCCCTGTGGAAGGGAGGGCCGGCAGGGGTCTGGAAGGTGCTAGAGCACACGGGGGTGCAGTAGGGACCACGGTTCAGGGTCCGCCACAGAACTGCTGCTCGACACCAGTTACAGGCCGTGGCCCCCCAGGTATGCTTTCCCAGCTGGCCAGCGGTAGGACCGGGTGATCTCTCAGTGTCCGCGGGGTGATCCATGGGAAATGGGGGTTGGGCTCACCCGGCCATACCTGCAAACTGTAGATCCTGGTGCTTGGGGAAGAACGCCTTTCTCAGGTACCTAGTAAAGAACGCAGACCTGAAGAGGTACCCAGGCCAGGGGAGGCCGCCTCCTACCTGACCTCCACTTTGACATCCCCTCCCTCACGCTCAGGGGAGCCACCCCCTTACTGTGGACACTCCAGGTACTGTAGGATCCGGGCCAGCTGTACACACGCCTGCCCCTTCTTGCCGACTCCCGTGAACTCCCCCTCCACAGTCCTGGGAGAGGAAGACAGGGTTCAAGATACAATTGCAGCCCCTTCAAGAGCTCCTCCCACCCAGTGTTCCCTCCGCAGCCACCACCCCTGCCTGGCAGCTCTACCCGTGAAGGATTACAGTGGGGGAATTCCAGGCAGGGCACTGAGGAAGGGCTAGCAGGTAGACAGAGGGCAGGGTGAAGCCACGCCAATCCTGGCAGCCCCTCCCTTCTCCCCGAGCCCCGGCACCCTGTGGGATGGCCCCTCACTTGGCATCCTGGCCCTCCTCATCGAACACCACAATCTCATCCACGCAGAAGATGGCACAGGCTCTGGCAATCTGGCCAGCCAGGTAGGTGCGAAGCTCGGGCGACTGGGCGTTGTCCAGGATGGAGCCCGGCAGGGCCACGGTCAGGGTCCAAGGCCGCCCTGGGCAGGGGAGGGGTGTCCTGGTCAGCCTGAGAAGTCAGGGTCCCACCCTCGCCTCCCTCTGTCCCCAGGTCCCAAGATAAGACAATTTTCCAACTGGCAAGAATTTTGACATTGGCAAAATAGATTCAACTCCCCTCTCTGGGCCTTAATCTCCCAGGAGGAAAATGGACGCAGCAATCTCCAAGGCTCCTTTGAGCAGGGCCCCTCTGGGCAAGGCCAGGGAGTGGTTAGAAGCTAGAAGCACTGGCCTAAGCTCATATCCTGGCTCTGCCCCTCTCTGTCTCAGTTCTCCAGCTGTCCAATGGGGATAATAATGTGAGCTAAGGCTGGGCGCCGTGGCTCACTCCTGTGATCCTAGCACTTTGGGAGGCTGAGGAGGGAGGATCACTTGAGGCCAAGATTTCAAGTCCAGCCTGGGGAACATAGCAAGACCTCCTCTCTACAAAAAAGTAGAAAAATTAGCTGGGTGTGGTGGTGCACGCCGGTAGTCCTAGCTACTAGAGAGGCTGAGGCAAGAGGATCACTTGGGCCCAGTAGCTTGAGCCTGCAGTGAGCTAGGATGATGTCACTGCACTCTAGCCTGGGCAACGGTGAGATCCTGTCTCAAAAAAAAAAGTGAGCTAACATCTAACTTTATCTGTGCATATTAACCCAACAGCCCTAGGAAGTAGATACTGCCATTATCCCCATTTTCAGGTGAGGAGGCTTCCGTCCAGAGAAGTCAAATACATGACCCAAGGTCATATAATAAGTGGGGCAGCTAAGATATGGGTTCAGGCCTTCTGGCTCTAGAGGAACCCCCACATTCTCTCCTTCCTAGGGTTTTCTGGAGGGAGCCACATGAGATACCACCCATAAATGGCTTCCTGGTCTCTGGCACGGATGATTTGCTGGGTCGCTGTCTCCACTGTCACCGTCCTCACTGGTAACTAGGCTCTACTAGGCTAAAAGGTGGCTCCCTGACTTTCCACAGATTCCAGTCTGGCAGAATTTTATTAGGGTGGATCCTGATATATTGATGTGGAAGAACACCCAGGGTGTAATGTGGGATGAGAAAAACCAGGTCCAGAAGCACATAGATAAAATAGTCTCATTGTTGTAAAACTGTATCTATACCCCTCTCTACATTTGGATAAGAGGGTATAATGTCTGGACAAACTTTCAATATAATGTTTGCTGGGATTGTTCCTTTACTCTTTGAAGTTTTCTGTATTGTTTTCAGCATGTATTATTTACGATGAGAAAAAAGGAGACATTATTATTATTATTAAATGAAAAATTAAATTAAAGCACAAAGGAAATACTCAGTAAAAAAGTAAAAAAATAGCCAGGTGCAGTGACACATGCTTGTAATCCCAGCTACTCAGGAAGCTGAGGCAGGAGGATCCCTTGAGACCAGCCTGAGCAATATGGTAAAATATTGTCTCAATTAAAAAAATTTTTTTAAAAAGTAAAAAATAACTATCATGAAGATTATGAGGTTCTGCCGGGCGCGGTGGCTCACGCCTGTAATCCTAACACTCTGGGAGGCCGAGGTGGGCGGATTGTTTGAGCTCAGGAGTTCGAGACCAGCCTGAGCAAGAGCGAGACCCCGTCTCTACTAAAAATAGAAAGAAATTAGCTGGACAACTAAAAAAATATATATATAAAAAATTAGCAGGGCATGGTGGTGCATGCCTGTAGTCCCAGCTACTCGGGAGGCTGTGGCAGGAGGATTGCTTGAGCCCAGGAGCTTGAGGTTGGTGTGAACTAGGCTGATGTCACAGCACTCTAGCCTGGGCAATAGAGCAAGACTCTGTCTCAAAAAACAAAAAGATTATGAGGTTCTAGAGGTATAAAGTTAAGAGATATGATGCTTACCGTCCATAGGCTTGGAATCTATCTACGAAGGGGGTTAGAGCTCAGTTTGCTGAGTCCCTCCCCTGATCTGGGCTTCAGTTTCTCCATCAGGACAAGATGTTTGGTCCCACTAGTCTCTAAGGGCCCTTCCAGATATGACGTTCTCTGCTCTGCCTGTAGGACAGCTGCTGCAGGCGACAACCCGGAGCGCTCCCCAGGACCTAGGCTGCTCACCTCGGTCTTCCCTTTGTGCAGCGGCCTCCTCCTCCTCCTGGCGCTTTGTCTGTTCCTTTTGTGCCCGTTGCCTCTCCAGTTTTTTCGTCAACTTGAGATCCTTCCACTTCTTTTTCTCCTCTTTCTCTAGATAAGAAAACACGCCCATTGATCAAAGGAACGGTTCCCTCTCATTGAGTCAGCTGGGGCTCTGGAGTGCTGCTGGGTGAGCAGCCAGAGGGCAGCAAGGGAACCACCCCAGGGATCCTGGCCCCTGCCTCCCCACCTTGGGTGCTGTGGGATCTGGAGGGGACAAAGCTGGTGTCTTTCCCCAAGGCTTGGCTGCATATTGCTGGAGTGGTCTAGGGGAAGTGGGGACACACTCTTCCCAGCCCCCGGGCCCTTACTTACTCTGTTGCTTCCATTTTCGCCACTCAACCCTTTGGCCATGTTCACCCTGGATTAGGGGAAGGATTAGGACTGTGAGGCTAAAGGTCACACCTGGGAAATCCACTTGCTGCTCACCACAGTCATCCGCCCCCTCTAAATGGAGGCGATGAGGAAGCCAGGGAACCTCCACACACTGCTGCCCCAGGAAGCGGCAGGAGGGCAGAGACTCGCTGTACTCCCAATGCCTGGGACCAGACCTGGCACATAGTAAGCACTCAGTAAATTGTAGAATGAGTTCCCACGGAACAGAAGAGGAAACTGAGTCTCAGGAGGCAGGACCTGCCCACAGTCGCCCTGGGAGTCAGAAGACACAAACCACGAAAAGGCTCAGGATTGCGAGCAGGCTCCCAACTGCTCTGTAATCCAGCTGGTACCAGAGAACCACAGGGGGCTCCGGCCAAAGGCTACCCTCCGCTGCCCCAGCCCCAGCTCCCAACCACGCTCCCGCCTCGGGTGCTCATCCGAGGCGAGGCACACGCGGCAACTAGCTTGCAGCACTTCCGTGGCTTCCGGCCTGGGATCGGCGAGAAGTAGGGAGCAGGAGGCCCGCCTTGACCCCACCGCGGGCCCCTACACTGCTCGTTCTCACGCCTGCACCCCACTGCCAGCCCGGGATCCCGGCTCCCGCCACCTTACCGGACCGCAGGGCCGCTTCCTCGAGGGCTCCGCCATGTTGCGCCGCACACCTTCGGCCACGCCCCTGCCAGTCAGACTCATCTCTTCCGGCCACACCTCCAGGAGCTGTCCAATCGGAGAGCCAATGGCGCGCAGGGGCGGGGCCTAGGCTCGCGGTGGCTGCCAGACCGCGTGGGTGCGTGGGCTCGGGGGCGGGGGGGGCGCTCCGCGGGTGGGAATCTGGGGAGCCGGGCTGCGCTGGCTACTCGCAGGGCCGGCTGGGCGCCCAGACGAGTAGCATCTCGGGCACTGTCCTGGACCCTTGGATGGCTCGAGAGCCTCCGCCTGGGCTGGGACAAGCACGACACTCAGACCTCTGCGTGGTTTTATACATGGGGACTCTCTGGCCCAGAGCTGGAGTGATTCAGTGCGGGAAATGACCTTGGAGGTAATTTAATCAAGTTCTTTTATGGAGTCATTCATGTACTCCTCTTTTAATTAACACTTTAGTTTATTCTTTGTTTTTGTTGTTATCATTTTTTTGGACTGATTCATGAATTTTGGTGTCATCCTCACACAGGGGCTATCCTAACATTCTCCATATCGTGCCAATTTTAGTATTTGTGCTCAACAAACTTTAAAGTCTTTTTTTTTTTTTTGACACATTGTTAAGCTCTGTTGCCCAAGCTGGAGTGCCCTGGCGGCAGCCTAGCTCACAACCTCCACGACTCCAGCTCCGGGTCTCAAGCGATCCTCCTGCCTCGGCCTCGGAGTAGCTGGGACTACAGGCACACGCCACCACGCCCAGCTAATTTTTTCTATTTTTAGTAGAGACAGGTCTCACTTTTGCTCAGGCTGGTCTCCAAGGAACTCCTGACCTAAAGCTATCCTTAAGTGCTAGGATTACAGGCGTGAACCACCCCTCCCAGCTGACTTTAAAGTCTTGTAAGGCGGTTTTAGCTTTAAAAAAAATTGAGCAGATAGTACAGAGAATCCCCATATACTCTCCCTGTCTCTGCCTCAGTCTCCCTTATCTTGGGTGTGGTATTGTTATATTTGGTGAACAATACTGATACATTATTACCAACTGAAGTCTTTCGTTTACATTAGGGTTCACTCTTTGAGTTGTACATTCCAGGGTTTTGACAAATGCATAATATCCACCACTACAGTGTCTTACAGAATAGTTTCACTGCTCTAAAGTCCCCTGTGCTCCTATTCATCCCTCTCCCCCTCCTAGCCCCTGGCAACCACTGATCTTTTCTGTTTCTATAGTTTTGCCTTTTCTAGAATGTCATATAGTTGAAATCATACAGTGTGTAGCCTTTTCAGATTGGCTTCCTTCATTAAACAATATGAATTTAAGTTTCCACTATTTCCTTTCGTGCCTTGATATCTCATTTAAAAATTCTTTTGATTTTTAGGGACAAGGGTCTCCTCTGTCACCCCGGCTGGAAGGCTGTGATGCCACCATAGTTCACAGCAGCCTTGAACTCAAGGCTTGGCTCAAGGGATCTTCCCACCTCAGTCTCCAGAGTAGCTGGGACTACAGGCGCAAGCCAC